TGGCAACTCTAGAACATTCTGAAGTTTATCGCTCATTCTCTTTCTCTCGCTGTTCGCAGTGTTCATCCAACTTGACGTTTCTCTTTGTGGAACATTCTACGTCATTCCTCGAACATTCTGCCTATTTCTCGTTGTTCGCTTTGTGTTGCCGCAGTATTCGCCACAATAATTATAACAAAATAAACTCCATACAANGTTTTTTTTTTTTATAATTAATAGACTTATTTTTAGTTTGTATGACATAATTTTAAGTGTAACTGAAGGACTTTTCTAAATGAAATAGAAAATTGCTTAGGCATATATGAGAAATAAATTGGAAGCCCGTTTTCGCAAAGCGTTAAAATTTTTGATTTTTTAACTTGCCTTAGATCTGTACAAAATATGGTTATTTTTTGCTAACACAATTTTTATGTGGAAGATTTCTATATACTTTTTACTATTAAAAAATGGTTATTTTAGGATTTTTCCTTTTGTTTTGAATGATATTCCCCCAAGCAGTTTTAAGGAATGTTGCTGAAGTGGCAGTCCTTGAAGTTGGGTCGTTCCGGTTAATCATGATATGTACATGGCTTGTTCGGGGCACGTAATAAAAGTTGCAATATTGAAAATTTACATCACTGCTGCAAGTGCTCAACTGATAAAACGTAGTTGGAAATTCACAACGAACGTGATACTTCAATGATTCGCGCAATACTCTGGTTGTGAACCGCGTCTAAAACCCCTCTTCCTATGGTGCAAACCAGTCGAAACTACCCGTTTCCTGTGTATACCGTTAGATGAGCTTGACAATACTTAGTGGATTCACTGATCTACAACCCTGTTATGAATTTCCATACGATAGACGATATTATTCTTTTAATATGCCCCACAGATGCATTAATTTGAATGTCTGTGGCTTTTGTTCACTTTTTATCACAAATCAGCCACGCTAATTACATACATATATGATTTGCTACGACAAACATCCGTTCGTAATAGGCGATAACAGAATGCAAGTGTTTATCGTGCATCATGCATCGTACGAATTTATAATAGGGGTGTTGGTCATGACTTAGTAAGATGCTACAACATGCGACGATTTTCAAATGAAATGCGATAAGACGGTATGTAATCTTTAAATGCATCTTGAATGCGGCATCTGGTAAGGCTACTCAACTTGTTCCCATTTTATATATTGGTTTATATGTACATGCCGCACGGCCGCATTTAAATATGCCTATAATCAACCTGAAATGAACAATGGAATATCAATTTTTTTCAATTGGGTCTACTAGAACATTCCTACCTCTCATCATTGGTCTAACGATTTAGAGCAGCCACATTCGAAATATGCGTACATATATCCCTGTGTTCAGAAATGTAACAACCCAAAGCATTAGTTCTTATTTCTAAACTACAACTCATGGAAATGTCCAATATATGCAACCGAACTTGAAGGACGAATTGAAACTTAAGTTGCGCAAAGGCATTTCTATCAATTACAGTTTTGGTTTGAGGCTTATCTGAACGCAACCCATACTTGCATATCTCGCCGGAGAATATATTTTTAGATCTTGTAATCACCTTCACCTCATTAATGGTCATCGGAGTTGAACTACCACCTATTCAGCTGCTTCGCATGTAAAGGCTCCCCGGCATGACACCAACCAACTCTTCACATGCCCCAAACACATATGGAACTAACAGCTCTCCTGAGGGTGCGAAGCCGTCGAAACACATCTCCTCCCATGATTGAAAGAGTAGGTGATCTTGCTAGGCAGTACTAAATAGCCGCTACAATAACAAGGAACCACCAAATTGCATTTTGAATTGTAAATAGAAACAAAATGATAGCAAAATAATGGTAAATTATTAAAATATTGGAAAAGAGCAAAATAACGAGGAACCTTAACTTAATATAAAAACGCAGCTTCCAAAATTACATATATGGGAATAAAAAATGTCATCATTAGCAAAAAATTCATTTTTATTTTCATAAAATAAGAAAAGATTAAATTACATATGTAAGTAATTCCATTTTTAATATTAAGAACTTAAATGTTGAAATTCAATAAATGTTTATCCGTACGAGTGCATACGTAAAAAAAATAAAATGCAATTCAATGCGAATAAATGAACGTACAATTTTGGATTTGAACTTATCTATAAACATTGGTAATTTAAGAAATTATCCCATATAGCATCAAATATATAAAATCTATATCTATATAAAAAAAATTACCTCAATATAAACATTTTAAAGGAAATAGAGTTGCTTTTCTAATGCGTTGTTCGGCAAACGATGAAGACTTTCAGCAACGAGGAATGCAAGTTTGTGTGCATATTGGCACACTGCAGGCACCCGACAGGTACCACTCCAATTGTAATACAAATGGGTCATTTTGTAAGTCAACATTTGTATTTTGTCGGCATCCAGTCCCATGGTGTCATATATCACATTGTAACTTGTAGGCGAAACAGTGCCCTGGTTTACAGATTGCGAAACTAAAAAGAAGTCGTAACGTTCAGGCAAAGTGATAATATCGTCAACCACAGTGCCGGGCGGCGGATTTCTGCCATTAATAAAGTAGCGAGTATTAATGCGCTTCGAAACGACTATAAAAGCCATGGGACAGGGCCCAGGTTCGCCGGCGTTTTTGTATATCTCATCCAATTTTTCTTTCAAAAACTTAACTTCTGTGTGGAAAACTTGATGTAGTTGTCCATCGCCGACTCCGTCACGATAGAAAAGGATTTTCTTTGGTAACATACCATGCTCATTTCGATATGCTTTGAGAGCATAAGTCATATTCATGCCTATTTCGTTCGAAAGCTCCTGGCCCTTCATATGTTGCGAAACCGCAGAGAAGTAATGCGGTTTTGATTTCAAGTCCATTGTGGCTACCAATGCTCCATACGATTTATTTTTTTCTTTTGCTGAATGGCAAACATCAAAACCAACTGTCATGAGACCAGATATTGGAATATCGGTCAGCCAGGGTGCTCCCATGAGTTTTGCGTTCATCTGGATCACAACTTTAGTGGCCACAGACATCAAACCGGATGCTTTGTCTCCACGAGGGGCAATCGTGCGCAGTGTTACGACTTGAGAGGGTACTGGACGGTCAACGCAACACTTCTTTTTGATGCAACTGTATTTCTCTTCATGAGCGCTTACCAGAACCACCATCAATAGCTGAGGATCTTCAGCAGCAACAGTGTTGATGGCTTGTGAATATGTACCAGCGCGATCGTCGTTCATTTGTTGATACCGAGGCTCTGCAATACCCATTTGCATACCATTGGCTGCTCTTATGCACATCTGCACAAAGTTTTGAACTTCTCGCAAATTGCGACCTGGTGCTATAACATACCACCTTTTCATGTCAACGTTTTTGTACATAGCGTTATTTCTGAACTCCCGGGTCCAGTCGGCGTAATCGTTGCACTCATAGCGTTTATTATTTCCAAACACAATTTTGCAGCTCGGTATGATTCGTCCAGGTACTTCGACGAGGTTTGTGTCCAGTCGCATACTCCAAGAATTTAAGAGTTCCACACTTTCGGGTGCCTGGTTCAAACGCCTATTGAATACCTTCAGTCGCTCAATACGTCTTTCGGGTGCCAAGCGGGTGAATTCACTCATGGCTCTCATCAATCTAAAGTTACTTCTCATAGCGTTTGTAAGGCCGGTTGAACGCGATAGTTCCGGAATCAGCATTATGAATTCATTCTGGCCACCACGTATATTACGTTCAGTTGGGCGAGAGACCAAAAGGGGTTGTTTTGCGTCCTTCAAATGAATGTTGTATCTCTTTTTATAGTACTCCATGTATGAAATTTCGCCGTCTTTGGTTGAAAATTTGGACATTGGTGACGAGTTGAAATCTACATCATCAACTCGATAAGTTTTATTATTGTAGTCCGTGAGCACGATGGTTCCCACGACTTCTCGTTTAAAAACATTTTGGTAATCGGGCTTATCGAAGCATTCCTGCAAAATTTTATACACTGTATCAGTGCGCATGACCTTATGTGCAATCTCAGCACATAAAAGGATGTCGTTCTCATGCTGACGTATAGAAGTCTGATATCCTGGCCATAGTTCGAGACAATAGCTGTCTAGGGAATGCTTTGCTTTCGGGTCAAAGAAACTTCGTCCAACAAGTTGTAAATTTAAACCTTCCATAGCGCGACGTAAAATAAGATTTAGCACCTGCAGCTGTTGTGCATCAGTCACTTCCAACTGCCCGACGTGCTTGATTTTTATTTGAATAGTTTCCCCTTCGCGGTTTTTAGTCAAGAGTTCTATTTGTTTGTTTTCCAAGTACTTAGCGCAAAACAAAACAGTGCCATCGAATATGTATCCGCCAAAAAGATCTTTATGATGATACAAATAAGCACGTCTTAAACGCACCATGTCTATATCGGGAGCAAAATCCACGCGATATTGGTGAATAGACCACTGTGGTTTTTTTAACACGCGAAAGTAGTTGGTTTGAATTACCACTTTCTTACCAGTTTTTCCAGATTTGTTTTCACAGGTAGCTGGACGCGATGCTATTACTTCAGTTAAAACACGCTTTCCTCGCACTGCTCCACGAGTGTCTTCCCTTACAACCGGTGCTTCTCCTACTGGAATTTCCCTATGCGTTGTTGCTCGTCCTTGCATAACTGGTGCAGCGGCACGTTGTTGAATTGGTGCAGTACTACAGCTTGGCTGTTGCGGTACAGTGGAACCTCGGGCTACAGCTGAACCACGAGATGCAGGCAAAGGTTGCCCCCAAGCAGACGTAGTGGGAGCTGTGGTAGGGTAACCTCTTGGCGGACCCGGTGCCCGCAAAGGTTCACCCTGCTGACCTGGTGCCCTAGAAGTTTCACCCTGTTGACCAACTCTTCTGTTTCGAGCATCGCCACGAGGCTGTTGAGGATTAGTGGCCCGGCCGCGCCCTCTTGAGCGCCCAGCGCTAGTTAGCTTATCCATTTTTCACAAAATTGATCTAATACGTCGCGAACAAAGAAGGGAAATAAAACCCGCTTGCAAGCCAACGCACGCCAACAGGCTGTAGGTTATTAGAGTTGCCATGTTTGGTATAGTGTCATGTGAATTTAGGAGGAATTTTGACTTTTTGAATTGTTTAAATTGTTTGATATTAATTGTAGATTTTTTAATTAAGTTTTTGCGAAGAAATATTCGAAATGTGAAAATGATTAATTATATGGTGTTAACATTCAAAATTTCAATATTATAAATTCACATATCCATTTCTATCAACTATTACTAGGAATAGTTCAACGTGATTTCCTTTAGTAAATTATCTCTTATTCAGCTTTATACAAAACATTTTAGTATTTTGGTTACATTTTCGTTGGTTGACGGCAAATTCGTAATATTCATATATGAAAACATTGTTGTTTGGCATCCCTTTTAATTTCAAGATGGCAACCGAATTTCGAAAAAGGTTCATCCTATGTACAGTTTGGTTTCTAATCAGATGAAACCATCGTGCAAGCATGCACAATGTATGAAACAGTTATATGATCACGTTACATACAAACTAAATAAATACACTTATTTATGTCAGTGTTGCCAGAAGCTTCAGTTAACTTCAAAATGAAGAAATATTCATAAATAAGCAGAAAATTTTCACATGAAGATAATGTTACGATTATCCTCGAAACCTTGAGGGATTTCCCAAATATACTCGGGCTCGTATCGCTGGATTGTTAAATAAATGCTAACGATGACCGAATTGTAGTACAATTAACTTTATTGTACAACAAACAATTTTACAATACTTGCTAATACAGTAAAAATACTACAATACTTGTTAAGGCAATTACAACGCTTTACTGAACTTGTTACACACAATTAAACTTATAGCTTGCTTATTCGCAATTCGCTTCTCTGCTCACTTTACTTGTAGCTTGCTGACTTGCAACTGTCTCCACTCCGCTGTGTCGTGGCTCTTATATACCTGCGCTCACACTTATGGCAACTCTAGAACGTTCTGAAGTTTATCGCTCATTCTCTTTTTCTCGCTGTTCGCAGTGTTCATCCAACTTGACGTTTCTCTTTGTGGAACATTCTACGTCATTCCTCGAACATTCTGCCTATTTCTCGTTGTTCGCTTTGTGTTGCCGCAGTATTCGCCACAATAATTATAACAAAATAAACTCCATACAAAAAGTCTTCAAAGTGAAGATATCTGGCAGCACTTGCAGATTTTTTTTTTTGATAGTTGGCAACAAATTTTTGTTTTTGGGCAGGTACCAATTGATAGAGGAAATTTTGACGGATTAAAGTAAAAATTTGGCATTTCTCGTGGTGAATACGAACGTCCGAATTTTTTCTAGCTAACTGCCCGTCTCCACAGGATAAAGTTTATATCTTGATACATATGTCAGAATATAATTTACCAATGGAGACCGCTCATTGCTCTTCGAGAGCAATATATATCAGAGCTTATATCTTGCCATCTATTGCCGGCAATTTGGTAGTTTGACAGCTACATTTTCATTTGCACGAAAACTTCGGGGCTGCAACATCATTATTATTTTAATATAAAAGCAAAAATTGAGCTGTTTCCTGTTAAAATATTTGTAATTAGGTATTTGGTTGTAAAATAGCCTATTTTTTCAATTTTTTAAGCGATTAAATACGACAAAAATACGTTTTTGAAGCTATCATACAAATGCTTAATCAAGATATAAAAAAGCCCACACAAATATTGCCGCATATATAACTTATATCTAGCGACCAAAATGACAGCTGGGCAGCAATAAATTTTATCCTGTGGAGACGGCCAGTAACAATAACCCATTACGGTCCGTCTCCACTGCAAAGTTTTTTCTTTCCCACTAATTTGTCTATAGTAAATTTTATCAGAAATCGCGAAATTTGTGCGTGAGCATTTTTATTTATCTTGATTAAAGCATTTGTAAAACTAGAAATTTTGCTAAGTACATAATAACCAGGGAACGGATTTTTAGGACCTAAAACCTATAAAAAAGGCACAATAAAGTAACGAAATAGGCTTGAAAAGGCAAAATAAAATAGCGAAAAAGGCATGAAAAGGCATTGCAAAAAAAGCAAAATAAGGCACTAAAAAAATACAGAAAATACGAAGAACAATAAAAAAATACATTTATTTTAGAAATGTTTATATTACAAGTAAAAAGAGAAAAACTATGAACTAGTTTCATTATAAGAAAAATTCGTACTTTGAATCTTTGACTATTTTATCCTTTCGAGTTTCTAACTCATAAAACTTTAATATGTATAGTTGTAGTAACATTGGACCACAAGATGCATTTTGAAGTCTTCTGGCAGCATTTTCATTCGATTTTCGAGAAGAAAAGCCTTGAATCACGGCGCGTAAGCAAAAACAGCCTATTACGCGTTATGGGCTGTTTTTGCTTACGCGTAAAAGCACATTTAGCGCATTTAGCTCTAAATGCTACTGTAAATGTACATTTATCCATACAAAATTCGTCACCTAAATGCAACTAAATGCAACTACATTTTTGCATTTAGAATCTAAATGCTAAAAGCAACCCTGTGATCTTCCAAAATTTCCACGATTCGAACATGGTTTAATGAGAAGAAGTGGCAACATTGCNTTGCATTAAGAATCTAAATGCTAAAAGCAACCCTGTGATCTTCCAAAATTTCCACGATTCGAACATGGTTTAAAGAGAAAAAGTGGCAACATTGCTTTTTCGAGTATACAGTTGCTAGCTGCGTTTCAGTGATCGCCGATCGAGATTTCTTTTATTTTGCATTACATATTTGGATAAAGAAAAGTTAAGCAAATTCAACATCGATTTGATGCTGATAGAAATCTGGATCAATTTGTGATCAACTCTGTTTGGTTTGTTTCCTAATTAAGTGAGGAAATTTTAATTGAATGCACCGACAAATGAATATATACACAAACAAATGTTCGGTAATGGTCAAAACAATTCAAGTTTTTGTATTGAATTTTTGGTTTAAAATTTATTTTTTCCTTTTCAGTAGGGTTTTTGCACATTATCTTCTGAGTGAGAATTGATCGTAATATATACGCATCTAAATAAGAGACTGGCTGTTTGTCAAAAGCATACGATTTCGAACTCGCGTAAATGTACATTTGCTAAATGCTATAGCTTAGTATCCAGCTCTTAAGAAAACGGTCAAGAAAAAATTGCCATTATTTCGCGTGTGTGTCCAAGGAATTTTGACATTTTTTATACCTCACAGCCTGTTGCCTCACTCTTTCCTCAAGAAATAATGGAACGGGCATATATTTCTGTTGCAAGCCTGGGTTGCCTTGTGCTCTTTTTTCACAAAAAACTTTAGAAAACCGTAGTAGAAAGCGTACTAAATTTCTGAAGAACTGCGTACTGCCTTAAGGAAATTTGACTCAAGAAAATTTCTTAGCCATTTCTTGTACGTCATTTTATATGGAGTTTTTGCTTTTCTTAAGAGCTGGATACTAAGCTTATAGCATGAACGCTCTTCGAAAACATATGTTCGAATGTGCTAAATGTTGCGCGGCGCTCAATTTAAATATGGATCGTTTGAAACTTTCATATTATCAGGAATAAGGGCGTTTACCTCGCCCTTTATAATTTTATCCACACCCCTTGTTGTCTCCAAGCCTTCGTTAGCTGAGAAAACGGCTTTGAACTTTTTCAACACCAATTTGGCAAAGAGGTCCCTGCGCTTCTATAAGCCGCATGAGCATGCGTATATTTTTTAATCTTAAAAAAAAATTGTAAATGCTATAATCACTTTTTTAAAGGTAGAAAAGGCAAATATCTTAAAAAAGGCAAATATCTTAAAACAGGCAAAAAAAGGCAACATCAAATGTGTATATATGGAATCAGGGAAAGCTAAATCGTGGACATTCTTAATCGAATATACTCTATCTCTTTAGCAAAAAAAAAGGCAATTTCCATAAAATCCGTTCCCTGATAATAACAAACAATTTAATTTTTTTTTGTGCTTTTACATAAAAGTATCAACAATGTTGCCGCCACGAAGTTTTCGCGCAAATATTATTCGGCTATTTTTTATTGCAATGAGTAACACTTTACAAACATATTTAAATTTGCTTATTTTTAATATGGTTTTTCCCTTGGACTTGCGGTGATCTCAGTGCGGCACTTTGCGCTGTTGTTCTAAAGAGAGTTCTGCCCACCCCAAATAACAATACAAAATGGCACAAATGCAACAATCCACTGGTGATATTCGTGCTTGGATATGTATTCCAGCAGAGTTCAATTAAACCAAGCAATAGAAATCGTATGCCCAAACTGTAATCGGTTGACCATGTGAGGTATGGCAATGAATGAAAGTACCATACGTAGAATTGGTAGTGTAAAGAACGAGCGCAAATTAAGCCAATAAAATTACATAAGAAGAATGGCAAGATGGCGAGTTGCGTACACTTTTCGAAGTGTATAGATACATTTTGTTCATCCGCCGGAAGCACATCTTGATGCTGCTTGGGACCTTTTAGTCCAGTACTTCTTTGCAAGCCTTTTTCAAATGACTTTAAAAAGGCTTGTTGATCGGGTGTAAGTCTCTCTTCCGCTTCCTCCAACTTTACTTCTTTAGTTTTATTGTGTTTTTTGCTGTTTTGTAGTTTTATTTCCAGATTTTTACGCTGTATTTGGGGTTGTAATTGATCTTGTAGAGCTCGCAGTCGGACATAATTTTTAAAAAATGTATATGCTGGCTTTGCAAATAATAGAAGAAGCAGAAGATGTGCCAATAGCAGAGAAATGTGAAAAATGTTATTTTCAAATAATTCGCGTGGCAGGAATCTGTAGTTAACGGTCCATTTGTGTTCAAAAACCCGTCCAAAATTGAAACTTCCTTTTATATATTCCAGAGGATATGTAATTAGAAAAGGTGCTCCCAGAAGTAACTGCAAACAGCCGCAAATTGCTAAATGTAAAATAGTTTGAAAGTAACCCAGATTGACCAAGTAGAAGAGCAGTAAAGCAGGAGCAAACAGTAAGATATTCATCTTTATGCCCACCGCCAAACTAAAGAATATACTCCCAAGAGTCCATCGACGATCCAGGAACAAATTTAGGGCAGCATATAAAAATAATATTGCAACTGGATCATTGAAGAGCCGTAGAACGTATATGGAGTGTATACGGTACGAGGTAAAGGCACTTAACACCAGCACGTAGGGCGGGACTTTACGGCTTTTGGTGTACAAGCGAAGCACAAACCACATTTGTAAAAGGTATATACAGACGAATATGTATTGAGCCAAGCGTATATTTTGTCCATGCGATGTTATATAGTAGAATGCCGCATATATATAGACAAAAGCTGCAGGATATACTAGGGGTCCAGTGTCACCTACAAAAAAAAAAATATATATATATACATACATATAATTTGTTTGAGTTTCCATTCAAAAATTTTTAAGCAAGTTATTAAATTTTTGTGTGAAATATTCAATTCGGTCTATTTAAAACCATGATAAAAATATAGTTATATGTTTTTATCATGTTTAAAACAATAAAATCAAAATTAGCAAGCAAAAATAAATAAGTTTAAAGCTTATTGGTGTCACTCTGTGTCAAATATTTCAATTTACATTACCGTGAACGGTCACTCAGCTGTGAATTGCTAATGATGAAAAAGAAGCAGGTCTTGTAAAGCATGGCCGTCGCTATTACCGCATAGGAATGTTCCTTTCCGAAGAAGTTATTGTGAAAATGATTTCGTCAGCTAAGACAATTAATCTACGTACAGTGCGTCAGCTTTCAAATCGCGTTATCAATTGTTATTCTGCCGAACGTTTGGCGGTGCAATCAATATCACAAAGACGTTTCTTCGCCGGCTGGAATGGACGTTGTAAAACATTGCCGAGTTTGCTGCTGACAAAAACGCCAAGGCAGCAGCAGCGGTTTGGTATACATCTAACCAATGTTTTGGACGCCAAAGACTATTATCAGATTTTGGGCGTAGCTAAAAACGCTAGTGCTAAAGACATTAAAAAGGCGTATTATCAGCTCGCTAAAAAGTATCACCCGGATACCAACAAGAATGATCCAGATTCGGGCAAAAAGTTTCAAGAAGTTTCTGAAGCCTACGAAGTTCTGAGCGATGATACTAAGAGACGAGAATATGATACATATGGCCAAACATCTGAGAACATCGGACGTGCTGGGGGCTTCGGGGGGCAGGGTCCACAAGGATTTTCTCAAAGTTGGCAATTTCGATCAACAATAGATCCGGAAGAGCTGTTCCGTAAAATATTTGGAGAAGCAAACTTTCGGTCTAATAGTTTTGACGACTTCGCCGATTCAAAATTTGGTTTCGGTGCTGCACAAGAGATTGTCATGGATTTGACTTTTGCACAAGCAGCAAGAGGCGTTAATAAGGACGTCAACGTAAACGTTGTCGATACATGTATGAAATGCAATGGATCGAAATGTGAGCCTGGCACTAAACCCGGACGCTGCCAGTACTGTAATGGTACAGGCATGGAAACTATTTCTACCGGCCCTTTCGTTATGCGTTCTACTTGCCGTTATTGCCAAGGCACACGACAATACATAAAATATCCTTGTACTGAGTGTGAAGGCAAGGGTCAAACGGTGCAGCGCAAGAAAGTTACCGTACCTGTGCCGGCAGGTATTGAGAACGGACAGACAGTACGAATGCAGGTTGGGCGTAAAGAACTTTTTGTAACCTTCCGCGTTGAACCGAGCAAATATTTCAAACGAGAGGGAGCTGATGTACATACTGAGGCTTCGATTTCAATATCACAGGCAGTATTTGGTGGTACTGTACGCGTACAAGGTGTATACGAGGATCAGTGGATCAATATACCACCAGGTACGTCTTCACATCACAAAGTATTCCTACGTGGAAAGGGTTTAAAACGTGTAAATGCGCATGGACATGGCGATCACTACATTAATATTAAAATCGAAGCACCAAAAAATCTTACATCCGAACAAAAGGCATTGCTGGAAGCGTATGCAGAATTGGAAACAGACACACCGGGACAGATTAATGGTATTACCAGACGAAAAGATGGCACCAAAAAGGCTACGTAATTACACTTAAAACAATTTTTTGTAGTTATTTACCAAATATTTTTTGTTACAGAACAGCGGACACCCCGAAAACGTTCCTATCGAAAATTAAATCGCTCTTTAACAGAGAGTCCAGTTAATATTAAAAATTTTCAGTGTGGGTATGGGTAGGACTTGATGATCACTCCGTTATATTAGGAACGACTTGGTCGACCAAACAAGTGTTTGCTTTAATTGTTTTAGTTAGTATAATAGACGATGGTAACGAAATAAAATATAAATTACTATATATACTAGTTGTAACGAAAAAAGGTCTTCTATTTAAAATAACAAATACAATGAAGTTGATATTAACGACAATGTATATTGATCTAACAGGAGCCTGATTCGTGCTGCTGAGATGGATTGGAGTAACACATTGATTAGTGGGTCAATTATGGATGGCAACGCAACCCCAGTTGAGTTACCGATGGGCAACGCCACTGAAATGAAAATGTATATTAGGCATAGCAACTAGATAAGTTCTATAAAGTTGATAATAAAATTTTGAAGAACCTGCAACTAAGACTTGACTGTAAATGAGCTGAAGAAACAGTTGAAACAGGTTAAAAATAAATAAATAATTTCAATCAAAATTTCCGTGGCAACACAAATATGCAGTTGCCAATATAGAAACTCAGTTGCAAGCTTTCATTGGCCATCTGTAATACCGTTTCAGGCACTGGCCACCCAACTGAAGTTCGGTTGCCATCCGTAATCGACCCATAAGGAACCGGGTTTGAAGTTATCATTGAGATAACTAGCAGTATTTAGGTATGTACATATACTGAAATCATAGTAACACTCCTCTTCCTTTATCTTTTATATCTGACATCGCCACTAGCTGGATTGACACCCCGTCTCTGCTTGAGATGTTGCAGTTCTGTGGGCCGTATAGAAATAAAAAATAGGCAATTCTTAAAAATTCAGAGCTTTTATTCGATTTATTCAAACATAATTGAAATAAAAGGTCTGAAATTTTAAGAAAAAGTACTTGCTTAAACTTTATTCATACGGTCCATTGTTCCGAGTAGAAATCTCCGTCGGTTTGAGATATTTCGAGTCAGCTTTAACAAAACATTTTTTAATTTATTTTGTATGTATGTATGCAGATCATACAAGAAAAAATAAATAAATATGAACATACATGTGCATCTCAGCGGAAGCAGTGCATCCATATCGAACAAATATTGGCCCTTAGCTGAATGTCCTCAATTGTTATTGCGTAACTTTATTGTATATATAAACGTTTTTTGAATGCCTAGTAGTTGTTACTCATTGAAGTGAATCAATCAATGGAGTCAGACTTGAGACTTCCTTTTTTTTGGAAATCAGAAGCGCTCATAACCCTACTCGACTTATATTGGCACCATAAATGTTCATATTTAACGAGGTCTCTTTAGATTAAAAATAGAATGCTAACATGCTGCCATTATCTCTTAAGGAAAATTGTTAATATAAAAACTAACCTTTGAGTTGCGCATAGTTTAAGGTTCCATTTAGAAATCCCTCGCATTCCTGCATGTAAGCTATCCAATCTATTTCTGTATAAGGTACGCGCCATATTACTAAGACGTTTATTAGTAGCTCCGCCAGCAAGATTATTATCGTGACCACTGGCAAAGCCGCTGCATCAAATATCAAATACTTTACGTACTCGAAATTCAAATACTTTTTGAACAATTGTTTAACATTAGTTCGATTGTTTACATTTCTATTATAACCCGATGGGTGGCTTTTAAGTTTCTGTGGCGGCATTTGCTCCAGCCCATTTACAACACAAACTTCCTATCGCGATTGCCTTGTTATCTTCTGCTTGCTTTTTTTGTTCAATACGTGTCGTCTCGATCAGCTTCTCTACGTCAAAGCGAACAAAACAAAACCAATGAAACTCAACAGTTGCTCAATAGTAAAAAATAGTAAAATGTTTTGTAATCTATTAGGAAAGTTTTCTGCGTAAATGTCCCATTATCACAGTATAGACAGTAACCAACCTTTTTGGGTTGTTGTTGTAGTAATCGTTGTTGTTGTAGTTATATTCACTCCTGAGGAAGGCACTGGGTTGTGTGCTGCTATTTAATGGCCTTCCTCAGATTTTTTCTTAGATTTCAGGGTTGTGTGCTATATTATTATTAGATAAATAAATTTAAGTATTTGTCAAATCGTGATTTTATTAAAAGAAAATTATAAATGGTGTTGAAAAACCAGACAAACGCTCGTGCGAAAGCTCTATTTTTGTGTATTGTTAAAATTTATACATGGCGTACTTATTCTTTTGTGGACTTTATGTTACTTGAGAATTTAGACAACGTGCGAGCTGGCAGGTTCTGTTATCAATATAATTAACACAAGCTTTTCCGAGTGGTTGCCTTTCAATAAAAAGAATAAACAAATATTCGCAAATAAATTGGATTTATTTTATAACTGACAACTAACCTACGCTTTTTGTTCTTTTCTCCATTTTAATTTTGACTCCTTATTACCGCCAACAACTTTATGTGTATACATATTTACAAGCTGTCAAAATTTTGCGTAGTCCCACGAGCTAGGTAAAAACTATGGCATTCGTATTCACAACGAGAAATCTCAAAATTTTTGTTTGGTCTTTCCAAATTTTCTCTTTTTAATCAGTTGGCAAAGGCCCTCAGTGGCAGCGCTCCGAGCGTTGAGATAGTAATTTCATGTCAATTAGTAGAAAAGTTCCATGTTGAAAAAACTTTTTATTATGGCGAGAAAATTTTTCATTTCTGCTGTGCCAATTCGTAACTTTTTACTGCTGGAAATCTTTGACAGTTGCTCTGGTTCAGAAGAAGTTGAGCAATTAAAGTCAGAAATTATACAAAAAATTTACTGACATTTATTCTTCTAGAACTAAAAGCCTTGCATTTATTAGACGCCTTAGTAATAAAATTAGAACAAAAAAATTCTTCAAAACCATCAGGCAGGGTTGAAAATTTTCATTCACCTCATAGTTAACAAAAATTTACAATCCGTAGTACTTTTCTATCAATTCTCAAATGCGTTTAATTTAAATCGTTTAGAAAATGCGTCATTTATGTATAACATTTTATGTGGAATTATTCAATAAATTTCGTTTTACACTATACTTTTTGAAACTATTTGGAGTTAATTATTTTTTGTTTCTAAAAAGCAACCCTGCGTGCTTGGAAGGCGTGTGTACCAATAATTTCATCCCTAGCATATTCATCCCCGAGGAAGGCAGTCGCCAAATTCACCGAAGGTTGTTTACTGGTTATATTGTGCCCATTATCTATTTAATCTCGTTTTCATATATCTACTAAATTAATTAAGAATAATTTTCAGTCAAGAAATGCCCAATATTGAGGGATTATTGAGGTTGTGTTGTTCTCAGTGTTGCCACAAACATTTTTTTTTCCTACCAAAGTTACCTACAAAGACCCATGCTGCAATAATACAAGGTGGTATCAGTTGTGACAGGTCGAGTTGACACTGCCTTAGCTCAGTAGAATAAGAAGAAAAACGGGATGAAATTAATCCCCATTTGGGGGATAAATATAAAATTTCATAATTTCTCCTAAACAAAATTTGCTTTTTATAGTATATTCGTAATGAAATGAAATAAGATAAAATAAAATACCTTTTTGAGAAAACAAAATGTGTATACTGAGAAAAAATAAAAAAATGAAACTATATTATTAGGCAAAGTGTTTTCCCTGCATTTACGCGTCTTCACTGCAGAGGTCGCCCTCGTTGTTATTCGATTAACCCTCTACCACATACGAAGCCAAATATGGTGTTACTCTGGAACATTTTTCGCACTCAAAGCTGGCTTAACATGAGATGATTTTTTGACAGGAGATAATCGAATGAAAAAGTTGACTTGCTGTCTCCTTTGAGACAAGCGATTTTTCAATAACCATTTACACGACCGATTTTTCTTGAGCAATGTGGAATCTAGAAAATTGGAACTACTGTTGGATTACGGCATCACTGGCCATCTTCACTTTCCCATTTCCTACGGAATCAGGCAGCTATCAACTTAAAACTGTTTCTTTGCGCACCGTATGACATTGTGATCTAGCTTACCACTGCCATTTGCTTCTTCCAAATTCGTAAGTCGTTCCTCAAAGCTTTTATTACCCAATACGATGACATCGTCCAGATACACAAAACATGTTTTCCAATGCAATCCCTAAAGAACATGGTCCAAGGGTCTTTGAAAAGTGGCAGGAGCGTTGCATAATCCAAATGGCATCACCGTGATTTGAAACAAACCATCTCCAACGTTGAAAGCTGCCCTTTCCTTGCCCTCTTCACTGTGTTGAGGATCACTTCGTGCCGAGTATCAGCGAGTTTGTGTAGTGGATAGATGGTCTTTTTCGTTACGTCACTTAGTTTCCGTAATTTCACGCAGAACCGCATTCGACCACTCCAACTATGTTCTTCACAAGTACTACCGGCGAACTCCATGGACTCGCTGATAGTCCAGTCATACCACTCTTGCTCATTTCATTCATAATTTGGTTTACAGCTTCACGTTTGTCAAGTGGAACACTCCGAGGAGCTTGACGGAGCACCTTATCAACTCCGCGCCGCCGTACTTGAATAGCTCGGTGGAAGGCTTTCAGCTCCAGCAGCTTTGTTGTTTTTTTTAATTGTTAAAACTTGGTATGGGGTGCGATGTGCAGTAAAATCTTGTCAATATGTGAGAGGTGTATATGTAGTTATGATAA